TTATTCATTTCAGTTTACCATGCATTAGTATTGGTTAAGTGGGAAAATAAGGACCTTTGGGATGTCTTTAATGCCAACTGATATAGTAAAATATCCATTTTAGAAGGTAGATTGCATTTATTTACAAACTAAAAATGACCACGCGCATACAGCCACTGCCAGCGAAGTTCTACTCGGTGCCCATCTGTACCAATATAAAATATAAATGACATTTAATTGCACTGTCGCTGTGATTTATTCACATACTTTTAGTGTAGCAACAATTTATACACTATTTTTACACTCAACCAGAACTAATATACAACCGACTGAGGCGGATCTATCACAAATTCCAGGAGCATAATAACTTATTTTTACTGTAATCATTTCCCTAAATGTGATGTCCTGTTTGCTACTATGGTATTTTATACTTTGGGTATGGATACTTCTATAGTCTATTTTCATCATCAAAGGAGAGTTCTTAAAAAATCAGCAGAAAGGAAACATTTTGTCTGTTTAAGTCGTTTACTGTTTGACTGTTCAATGAGGCCTCAAGACAGATATGCGACTCAATTAAATATGGAACAAGTAAAGAAAGAAATAGCCTTACAACTGAGAGCATGGAGTGATGTATTGTAAGACAGCGAATTACACATTGGAATTTATAACTGCTTACCAAAAAAAGTTCTGGAGCAGCGTACGGAGGACTACCACAAAAAGTAGTCAACCTTTGATCAGATTCGAAGGTGTTGGCCAAGCCAAAGTCAGCAACCTTAACGTTTAAGTTCTGGTCGAGCAAGATGTTTTCTGCTTTCAGGTCTCGATGGACAATTCGTTTTGCATGACAATACTGCATGGCAGAGAGCAACTGTCTGAACTTTATACGTGCCTTCTTCTCACACATCTTTCCATTTGCGACAAGATAGTCAAATATTTCACCTGTGGTATCAATTTATTGAATATAACCAGTACCTCCACTAGCATATTCCATAACAAGACAGAGAACATCTTCATTTTCAATTATCTCGAGTAGTTTGACTACAAATTTAAGTGGTTAATTAACACTTACCAATGTTTGGGTGATTTGTAACTTTCATGATAGTTATCTCACGCTTAAGCTGATAGAAAAAAATTATGAATAATTCTTTACTTACGCGTTTGAGGAGAGTATTATCCATGACGGTCTTATTAATTATTTTTATGGCAACCTGGAAATGTTGAAACCGTATCAGACCTTACTTCCACACCAGTGCCCATATGAATAGCAAGCTTGACTTTCGCAAAATTTCCTTTTCCTATAGTACGTAAGAGACGATACTTCCCAACATTGCTATTTACAACAACAGGGGCAACTGAAGGTTCTGCAGTCATGTTATCATGGTTTTGGGGGGCATTAGGGTCTGGATCAGAAACTACTGCTTCGGTAACTGGACTGACCATGTCGGTAATTGGCTTTGATAATTTAAAATCATTGAATGATCTGTTATCTGTGACTTCCTCGACGTTAACTAATGTGGATGCGATGTCATACAGTTCCGGTGCACATTTGGCTATAGAGCCAGTATCCACCTCCATCTGGAGTGCTTTTAGGTGTATTATGTCACTTAATTGGTTGATCTCATATAAAATTGTTTCTACACTTACTTCTACAGACTAATCGTACATACGCTAAGAGCTAGCATCTCATCTAGCCCGCCATAATAGAACGTCCTTCCCGCTGTTAGATATACTACTTTATGCTACAAAACTAAACAAACATTCAAAAAAATACTTAAGCTCCGTTTTTACCACCTATCGTAGATGGTCCGGTTTATGTTTTACTGATTAATCAGATTGAGTATACAGCGGCAACGAGTCATTGATTTATCTGAGTATATTAGACCACTATGGAAAACCTGAAGCACTGGAAGGCCGTTTCGTCCTATTATGGGAGTCGTGAAGGAATTCTCGGAGTTCTAGTGATAAGCCGTGACCAGTGGAGCTAACCCGTATTGGGTAGAGACAGGTGTCTACCTCAGCACAATACAAAATAGTCGTGCAGTCACGTGTATTACCTGGGGTTAGAAATTAACACCGTTGAATGCCAGCTGAGTGGCCCGGATGTTAAGCGTTCGCGCGCGAGACTGAAGGCCTCGGGTTGGAATCCCAAGAACGAGATCATGGATGTACACTGCTGAGTAGTCCTACAATAAGGCGAAACGTCCGTTCAATGCTTTCAAGTTTTCAATGGTGGTCTAACATCAATTGGTTCATGATCTGAATCAAAAACTTCATAGTCTCCACAACCTTATGCTGGCCATCAGGAAACGAAAATATATTACAGAAGTATAGGCAGATCAGTGAGGAGCGCCATTTAGAGGCACTTTCACAAAGGACTCCAAAGAAGTCGCTATGACCAATTTAGCAGGAAAATAGTTCCAAGACTCGCTCACTTGTAAGGACTAGAAGGGATACCTAAGGTTCGATTTATTCTTCTGGCTTTCTAACTCACATGTTCGTCCTCAGGGGGTCTATTGGAATTGAACATAAGTGGATATTTTGGTGTGTAGATCACTATGGAAATCTCATCTCCACATAAAGCTGTTTTAATTAACTAGACGACATACCCAACCTATTCGAAGGAAATCAAAAGCTAATTTCGTCAGCAATAATTCATCTCTATCTTTCCACACATATGTCTCCATGCTTGCAAAAACATGTATGACGGGCAACATGTGATGGCACATGCATGTAATTTCTTAACACGTCTAAAGGTTAGTTGCTTGAAACGTTTGATAACTCCAATCTAGATCATATTAATTCATTCAAAAAGTCATTTTTCACCCTAATTTCACGCTTGCTAATCGTTCGTTTTCTGATACGTTTGTAATAAACAGTTTCCTTAACTTAGCTTCCAATTCTGTTAAGCTTATACCGTTGATAATTTCAATAATAACAGAGGTCGAATTGATAAATAAAGTACATTAACAGTCGACAATATTCCGCAACACCATTTAAATGTTATCTTCCAGTTTATATACACTCGAGAGTAAATGCGCAATGTCAAAGTGAGTTCTTCAGAAATTTTGCACTTTGTTCGCCGGATTGTTTTTAGGAAGTCGTCTTTGGGTACGTTTCGCTTTATTCTCAGTTGGTTGTAGTAAAGGGAGAAACAGTGTTTTGTCGCCCTTAATCTGACTCCAGGTAAATCGCTCCTGTTTGCTATCGAATGATTTATGTCAAAATAAACATCCTGGCTATACTCGTACATAATCATCGACTTAACTCGCGTTAGTGGGTAACGGAATTACATAAGTCAAATACGAGAATGAACTTTGAATGAATATATTTTATATAATCGTTAACTTGGACAGACAACCAGGGAAACGGTGCAAAGGAGGAAAATCGGATTGCAGAACGCATGATAGCTAACTCATTTTGGCCATGAAACGTGAAACGAACCGTCGTGTAATAAGGATTAAACGTCTTTTGAAGTTCATCGACTGTTATCTTACTCTAAGTACAATGTCACGCTGGTATATTGGAATTGTTTGGACCTAGCTACTTTTGATATGAATATATAAATGGACTCTGCTTTGTGCTCAAGCGTTGGTTCCTGAATAACACTAGTGTATTTGAACTGTGATACATGGTCAAGTGTCGAACTTATCGAAGTCAGTATTTATCAGCTCTCGCTTTTAGTGCACTGGTCAGTGGTTTGTGATCCGTAAAAACTATGAAGCCCCTGCTTCTATCGGAAATGCCTAATCGTTCTCTTTCGAAAGAAAAATACCTCGTTTCTGCTGGGTTGAGTCTTTTGGAGAAGAAAGCAATTGGTTTCCAGGTCTTTCTAACCACTAGGTTAAGAGTATCGCCTACTGCTTTGTCCGACGCGCCTGCTATTTAAGCAAGTGGGAAAAGGGAATTTAGATACGTAAACGAAGGTGCTTGGGCCAGTTTAGACTTTACCTGTTTGATAGCCTCAACAGCCTCAGAAGTCAGCTTGAATTCTTTTGGTCTTCCTTTGAGTGAATGTCAAAGTTTGCATTAAGTGTGCACAACTGAGTATGAAAATGCGATAAAATTTAATTGAACCTGGGAAACTTTTAAGTTGTGTTAAATAATTAAATATGAAGTATTGTCTGATAGTGTCCACCTTTTCTTTGATTGGTGTAATCCCTTCTGTGCTTATTGTGTGTCCGATAAATTCTAGAGTTCGGACACCAAAAACGCACTTTAATGTATCTTCATATAATTTTCATCCATTCGTTTTAACACTGCTCTTACAAGCTGCTCGTCTGATCGTAAATCGGGACTGGAAATTAACAAGTCGTCCATACACCCTTGTGCAAATGGCATATCTCGAAGTATCAATGAAAGTTTGAAATTTTTGTGTTGTGACTTTCCTTGCCTTTTGTGTAATTCAATGTTGCTTCCAGTGTTTAGCGTCGTTTTTGAGTGACAACCGGAAATTCATGTCTTTTTAAAAAATTCGATCCCCAGTGTTGTCAGATTCGAATTGGCTGCAGTCGAAACCCAGGGGAAATACGCCCGGAACGTCAAATCCAGCGTTAACGTTTTCTGCTCAAATGTTGTGATTTTAGTTTTACTGGTAGCTTGAAATGTAACTTGGGATGTTTTGTTATGTTCCGAAGAATGGTATTAAGAGCAGCGTCAGTATCCAACAAGAAGTTACGATGGCACTGTAGCATCGACTTCCGATATATGTTGTTGTTAGTTGCTGGTTTTGTAATTGGGACAAGTTTTCGGCAAATATATCAAAGCAACAAATTGCAAACGATTGAAGAGTAATGTAGTCAGTAAAATAAATGACACTACAAACTGTGTAACTTGAATATTTTATGCATCAGCAGATTCAGATATTAAATTTGCTGAATTTCGTCGGCGCTGGTGGATACTAGCTACTGCATCTGATTTCGTCAGTTACGTTTGTTTAATCACCGATAAAATGAGCATTCATACCATAAAACCTATTCGAACTACAAAAAAACACACATAACGGCCTTTGTTTTAAATAACAACGCTGACCTTAGATAATTGACCAACTTAGCGCAATAGTTGACTAACTAGCGTGTTGACATTGAGGTGGGTTCTGATTTGTACTATATCAGGTTTCGGAAGCGAAGATTGCACTGAGAAGTCCTTAATAAGTAGAAATAACTCTCACAGCAAAGGCTCGAGTCACAACCAGTTAAACTTGGGGTATTAAACTCTGTATCAGTAAAGATCCATAAACTGTTAGCATGTAACGGATATTAAAATGAACGGAGAAACTTCCGTCTAAGTATGTACTTATTAAAAAATTCTCTCACGACTGTAATTTGTACATGTCCACTTTTTTGTTCACCGGATTAAATTATAGGAACCTAATGATTTCGGCTTCGCTTTTTTATTACCGTTGTTTTTTCGAATTCTGAATTAGTCAGGTTCTTCTTGTGGAAACATTTGTTATTAGATAGACTGGTATGAATCTGTTGAGCAAGAACCTTGACAAAATACTACTTTTTAAGCACTGCATTTTGGATCCCGGTAAAGATAAAATCTTAGCACCATTGCAGCAAGTTCTCCTGTCTTGCACTTAATCATGCCGCTTAAAGTCTAGATGATATCTGCCAGTTAACGCAGCAGCTTTTGCTGTATTGATCTATGGCTTTACGTGATTCTTACTGACTGATGGTTGTAACACGTAAAGCGTTATTACGCAATCGGAAGTTGTTTAAAAATAATGAAAGCAGCTATTGAACGCATCTAAATACTCTTTAATATTATCTCAGTATTCCCGACTCAATCCCCAACTATTACTTAGACGAAACCTATATCTTGTAAGGAGAAGTAGCATCCCTTATATACGTATTCTTTTTTCAGTCATTAATATGCACAATCAGATAACCATAACATAAAACGGATTTTATACCAAATGCAAGTTATAAGTTAAATATATATGTCAGAACGTGGTAGAATAATGTATTTTTAAAGTTGGTAATCATATTTAAATTGTCAACATTCTTATTTTTAACTCAATATCAGAAACAGTCTAATAAATTAGAAGATATATAAACTTCAAGTATTGAGTCGTCAGTGTCTTCAAATCATTCTTTGCATCTGGTGGGATAATCGAGTTAGTAATTCTAAGGTTAGGCGTAAAGCATTAGGTTAGGTTGGGGAATCAGCTAGCTAGACTGTCAGTCTTATTGCCTAAAACATATACTTTGTATGTTTAATCACAAATTACCTCGATGTTGCACCTTGGCTAAGGTAGGAGTATATTAAAGGAAGAGCAGAGATGGCAAAACTAAGGTATAACGTCACTTCATGTAGTCACCGACTGTGGAACAGTGTCGTGTTTGAGAATGCAAATTACCTAGCTAAAATGTATACTGAGTGTTTAAAGATGTCAAGTGTCACGTCTACTATCAGCCACTCACATTCGTAAAAGCAACACGAAGTTGCCGTATGTTATCGTTCTTTGGTAAAAAGTCATAGTCACATACGACGTAGGTTATATTATTTTGTGCCAGCAACCATTCCACCAAGTAGCAGGAGGGATACAGGTGGACAAATCAAACAGTAAATAATTGTACCGCTTGCTGCTAAATCGTTACAGCCGTACTGTTCGCGAAAACAAAAATAAACTTCGCATAAATGCTGTGATTTATTTTAGAACTGCTTATTTAGATTTATAATCAATATCAATAACCCGAAACAAAGATCGTCAGTGTGTGTGTGCGTGGGGATTGTTCGGTTTCATTGGAATCGTGAAACGATCTAAGACCACCATTGAGAACCTGGGAGCACTGGACGGCTGATTGTAGTCAGACATTAGCATTGTGGAATGCCGGCTCACTGGTCTAAAGGTTGGGCGTTCGCGCGCGACTGAAGGTCCTGGATGCCCTAAACGCCCTGGTACGACCGAGGGTGGGAAGAGTTTGCTTTCCCTCTCGAAATGCTCTCACATGGTTACGCATATACAGCCACTCCCAGAGAAGTCCCACTCACTGCCTTCTCGTGGAGGGGGTGTTGTTTACAAAAGTGAGAAGACGAAAAGCGAATATCCGGCACTTTAATCGGATTGGTGGACACGGAGAGCCCACCTATGGGAGTTGGGAAACCCTGATTCCAAACCAGTGGTGCACATGGGCTCCAGTATCCTGAAGGAGCAAATGGCGTATGAACCAATCATTGGTCGTCGGCTACCACGGGACTGCATTTCCTAACGTTGCTCCACTGCCTTTTGGGTTAGACCTTTAGGTAAAAGGCTCTGGGTGTGGTCTCCTAAGAAAACTAACTGGTTCGGTTTGGGCGGCCGGGTAGTCTCAGTGCTCGTACAACTCGAATGATTAAGTGTGGCGCATGACTTTTCAGTGCTCCCTTGCACCAATGCTTGTGTTTAAATAAGGAAATAGGTAATCGGGGAAATATCAAAGTCATCATATAAGTAGATTTTCAGAATCAGGCTAGTGACTAGTCCGAAGACTTGACTAGTGAATTTCATTTAGTCAGAGATTAAAAAAATATTTCTCTAAACACAAAGCATATCTAAATTACAAATAAAACAAGAGTGGATTTACAACATTTTTAGAAACATAGATATTTCGATAACATAACTAAATAAGGTACGTTAAGTACTAGGAACATGGGCAATGATTTAAGATTTTTACTTTTAAGAGCGATATAATTCAGGTAATGATTATCACTGACTAGTAAGCTATGACTAGCAATAATTTAAAAGTGTAATTAATAAGTATTCATTTAAAAGTAATTTTCTACCCAATGTTCATCAAAGGCTTTCTTTCTATAGACTGAGTTGTTTGTCGTGCCGTCACACACCATTGTATATTTCAATGACGGAAATTGAAATTAACAGTGATCTGAGTGGCGATCAGAACCGTCCAGAACGTACTTATGAGGAACAAATACAATGTGTAGGTGTGTTCGCCCAGCCTGTGGCTTCAAAAAAATTAACAAAGCGTTTGTATAAACTCGCTCGGAAAGCTAAACGTGTCAAGAAAACAGATGTCGGAATCAAAGCAATCTTAAAAGCTATAGAAAAGAAAGGTGTATCTGGTATCGTCGTATTAGCTGGTGATATTAGCCCGTTTGATCTGATATCCCATGTGCCATTGGTGTGTGAGGAGCACGACATACCTTACTGCTATGTTCCGTCAAAGTTTGACCTCGGTGCATGTGTATCTTCAGTTACCCCTATACCTATTGTTTTCATAACACGGGATGAACAGTATGGTGATTTGTATGACAAGTGTTACACTGCGGTTGACGCATTACCTCTTCCTTTATAAAATCCCTGTAAACAAAAAGCAGTATTCCTTCAATAAAAATATTATTGCATTTATTCTTCTGATCAATCGCTTTTTGCATCACAACACTTGATAATTTTAGTACTATAGTTATTTGCATAACTTTATCATTATGTAATACTGGTACATAGTTTGAAAACGTGAATGACTTAGTTTCATTTTACTGATTCAACACTAACAAGCGTGTTAGCACTTATGTAATCAAGTTGTATCCGGTGCTAATTAATAAAATTTCCAATAGGGTAGCCCTCAAATGTCACCATCTTGAAACACCGACTTCGGTGGCTTGGACATGTTCTACGAATGTCGTCCCAGAGAATTCCACGTCGTGCATTATTTGCCGACTCTGGGACTGGTTGGAAAGAGCGGAGAGGTGGTCAGTATATGACATGGTGTGTCGTGGTATGAAAGAAAGCTACGAAGGGCTGGCTTCTGTTGGTCCTTCACGACTCCCTGGCTGGGGTCCGAGAGATGGCTAGAGAAGTTATCAGATATGGCTCAGAATACAAGCCAGTGGCGATCCTGCTGTAAACGTCTTTTACTTTCTTCGTAAAGAGTGGTCGCTTCTTCCTTAACTGAAAGATTTCTTCTGATCGTACCTTTTCGTTTCTCCATTATTATTATTACTATTACACCAATCTGGTCATTATCTTTTTTTCCTCCGTTCTCCTTAAATTCCTCATTTTTGTGTGGCGCATATATATTCGGTGCCCCTTGTACCAGTATTTATGTGTTCAAATAAATAAATAAGGGTCAGAATCGTTGTTTGAGCTTTGGTCATAATTTCTAGTCAAGTAGTTTATTTTTATCATTGGGTTTTCATTATTTTGCATAGTATGGGTATGGCAACTTGGACCGGTGTATATACGCGCCTGGTCCTACGTTGTAGATTGACTGACTGACATAATATTAATAAGGGAAACAATATCATCGACTAGAATTAGTAAGTAGTTTACAAATCGTTGAATATGAGAATAAGGTATTGTACCTACGCAATACGCTCAATTATTTCTGTATACGAGATACTGCTACCTTTTTATTGAAAAGGTTGCCGTGTATCAGTTACCATTCTTGATGCTAGCAAAGACTTGTTATGAGATGGAGATGATAAGGCCAGAATGAAGCAGGTTAGAAGAGACAACTGAATACTTCAGTTACAGATTTATTTTGGCTTCTATCAACATTAAAAGTATTGTCTATTTTCCGACTACTTTCAACTGTCTTAAACGACTATTGTACGCAATTGGGAGTTAAAGCATGGTATGTGATTATGTACTGTTACTGAGTCGTATGATTTATACATTAGCTAGAGACAGTAATCTTTCCAGAGCATTGCCTTTAGACATCCTTTAGCTCCTACCTAGGTTGCCTATTACATGTCGTACTAAATAAGTCCAGTAACATGACTTTTTAGAGGAAAAAATCATACCGTTTAAGACTACAATTTGAGGCAGTACACACTAGTTCTTCGTTTTTTCTCCCGTCACTGAGTTACTAATAATTGTCGAGTTTAACTGAATATAATTGTGCGCGTGGTAGAATGTATATTGATTCATCGATGTTCAGATTACACTCCAGGCAATTATTTTGAATCGTTTCAGTGTGTAAATTGAACCAAACAAATAAAACATTGTCCTTATTCGTTATAACGCTATTTAGTTCAATATAGCTGTGACTAGTTCTTTTTGAGCACGATGTGTACATCTCAAAATTGATTACATTTCGGTGAGTTACACTATTTTTAGTGTAGTCTAGACTATATACTAAGAAATTGAAGGACTCGTTCCAATTTATATTATTCGTAGCCACTAACATAAATATAATGCGTATTGCTGATCAGTAATACAATCAAACAATGCTAAAGGAAGCACAGAAAACGATAAGTATATTGCATAAGAGTAGAAAAATCTGACCGTAGTAATAAAGGAAAAACAATATGAACCATTTTTTAAGAACAAATCAAAATAATTTCACAAAAGTCTTACAAAAATAAGTGTTTCAATTTTTACGAACAGCTACGAGGTATTCGAGATAATAAAAAAATCACTACTTTGTGTTATTTCTGGACATCGTTACTATCATTGGAAAGTAAAGGCAAGGAGAGTTTTTCCCTGATTAGATTCTCTAAATAAAATAGGAACCCATGCACATTCTTGTAGCCTAAAACATGGTATAAAATATAAACGGTTTAAATATGAGTTAATTATCAGTTAAACAAAAAGAGAGTTGATAAGATGATAGTTTCTGTTTAATTATATTTATTATTTTTAAAAAAGGGTGACGTTTGATTTATCTGATTACTTTAACTATAATGACCGAAACGTTTCTACAGATGTGCGCAAAACACATCGGATAAAAGACCTACACAAGATTTTTGTTCGTTGTTTCCATTGCGTAACAAACTTTAAGTACCATTTTTGATCCACATCAGCCAGATCTCTACTAAAATAAAAAATATCAAACATACATCAAAATATTCTAATACTTAACCCAGATGGACTCATTATAGTTAATATAAAAAAAATTTCACTAACTTGGAAAAATATTTAAGTCGATAATAGCGTATTTGTTTGATTTCGAGAGAGCATCAGATATAGAATTTTCGGTTGCACAAATGAGATCTATCCCAAACAAATCAATTTTGAGCGTTTTTCGAACTTCATGTGCCAACATATTGAACAGGGACTCACCATATGGGGTTGTCGTTTGTTTGTCTGAAAATGAGCTCAACTAAAATAAAAGATGAAAACAAATTAGTCGGCTAGTTAGTGCAATGATCAACAAGTTTTCAGGCATCAAAGTCATTGACAGTGGTTATGAAATACTTCATCAAAGGCATCCATTAACTGTAGTCCTATTTTTAATGCAATATAATTGACGCGGTGAACAAAATTTATATGCTATTTTACGAGGCGGTTTATCATGCTATAAAAACGTGTAAGTGACGGATCCCACACAACGTATGCTATTATTGCAGATAAGAAACAACCGTTGATTTCAATGTATGATCTTCCTAACCATCTAACCAATATTATTCGGATAGGCAAAAAAAACTACTGAAATGTTCAAGTTAATTGATAACCATGTTCTTTAAATACATGAGACGACCAATATTTGAGGCGAAATTACTACATTCCTATGGTTGCCATAGGATTTGAATTACTCTGACTAACATTTGATAGTAACTGGAAGAATACTTCTATGTATTAAGGATATCATCTGTACCTTAATTCCCGCCACAAATCGTGATAGACGATGGCTCACGACATTTGATGTGCTACAGTCTGTACAAGTTTACGAATTTGTCTCGTTCTCACTCCCTGACAAAACTTGGTACCTACTCTGAGTACTTATCATACGGTAGTTTCAGTCATTACCTCAAGTCTTCTTCACTGGTTTAACTCAAAACAATACATTCTCAGCAAATTAGTAAAATGATTATCGATGTATAATATACTCGTGGCTAGATGGCAATTCGAGTACCTTGTAACATAGACTGCAAAATGGGAAGTCCCAGCCAAACTTCTTGTACTTGTAGCGACATACTTTTGGCCGTACACATATGACGCTTTACATTTTTGAAAGGGTTTACACACTGCCACTTTGTCCTTAAGCATATCAATCCTAGAACATCCACTTACAAGTGGGAAGCACAAAACATGTGAAAATTAATTTCTGTTTGGAACTCAGAGCTTTTTGAGAATGAGGGACCATGATGTTTATCACACAAAATAACAACGGTTTCATGAAGTAGTTAGTGTGTACGAACACTATGATTATGATGAAAAATAGCCAAAGTAAAATACCAAGAAGACATGTTTTCAGCGACAACTTGTCGCATTCCTGATGTAGAGGATGGAAGAGTCAGTGTAAAGTTCTTCATAACTCATAATTGTTTAGAATGTCACCGATAAAAGCTAACCTAGTCGAATATAACATTTGTTAAATACAACTTGTTTGTCGGTCAAGTAAGCATGTTTATATTTTAAACAGATGAAGCATGAATACTTCTACTATACAAACCTTAGGCTTTTTAAAAAAAAGGTTATTAAATCTTATCGAACATGGTGATCTCAATTTAAAACAACTGCGGATGGTGAGAACGATTCACAAAGTGCTGAATAACAGTTTAATAAATGTAAGATTGTAATGAGGATACCAATACTTACTTCAGATAAAGGTGATTGACAACCATCCTTTGATACACTATGTGAATTAAAAAATATAGGAGTTCTATCTGCTGTGGAAAAAAGCAACAATGTACTTACAGATGAGTGGGAAAAAGTTAGAAATAATCGCTTAAATAACATGAATCAACAAAAAATACATCAGTAATTCAAAGTAGTAGAGTTCTAAGAATGAAGTTTTTGAGACTTATCAAACATATAATCTTGTATTTAATAATTGAAGTAACAACCTGTTAGTCAGCTACAACGTAGTGCCAGACACATATGTGCATCGATTGAAGTTGCCATACCTCATTAGCACAACAAGATGAACACTGGATTCATAGTAGTTAATTCAGTGGTGGTAATATATCAAAGAAAGATTGCGTATGAGGACCTGGTACAAAAAGAAAGATTTAGCTCGTAGAAGGAAAAATATGAAGTGATTTTAATCTCATGGTTTAAGGGAAGACGGAGAGTGCATTTTCTAAGAAGTTAAAGGTAGGAGTTATTTACCGTTCACACTTACATTTCAGCAGATACTTATAACTAATTGTTAAATCACATTCTACTGCTCCGTTAATAGTTATTAGGTGTTATCATTCTATTCAAACCCTTCGTTGTAAAACTTGGAAGATTCATGTGTGAAAGGAGAGGTTCAGTGAAGACCGAATAGTTGTTTTCCTGGCCATAAAAAAAGTTCTCTTTTTAATCATTTCAAAACAAACATTTATGAAAAGTAGGCAACACAATCTGTAGCGTAAATAAATTTCAGTCCAGAATATAAGAAATGTCATTAGCTAGAAATAACAACGCTAAACGAGCTTAGAAATTGGGATAAACATTAGCATACTCTAGCAGCCTTACTCTGGACAGTT